AAGTAAATCTACTAAAACTGATGGTCGTAAAAATAATAAACCACCACAACAACAAGATAACTCACCACAAAAGCGATCAAGATCAGCAAGTCAAAATAAATCACCACAAAAACGATCACGATCATCCAGCAAAGGTACTAAAGTTGATGGTCGAAAAAATAATAAACCACCACAAGAACAATCAGGTTCACAAAATAAAACTAAATCTGGTGGTCGTGGAAAAAGTAATTCATCAAATCAAAATAAATCTCGTCGATCAACTTCTCGTTCACCAAGTAAATCTCAAAATAATCGAAAAAATCAACAACAACAACAAGATGATGATGATAATCAAGATAATGAAACTGAAGATGAACAAGGTACCGAAAATGAAGATGAACAAGGTTCCGAATCAGAAGGTGAACAACAACAACAACAATCCAAATCTTCAAAATCCAAAGCATCAGGAAATAGTAAGATAATAATTTTAATCAAAGAATGAATTTATTTATTTTTTATTATTTCTATAGATAATACCCGTTCATCACCAACAAAGAAAGCTCGAAAGTCTGGTGGTGGTAATAGCAAGAAAGCCAATAAATGATCGAATAAGAAATCTTTCTCATGATTTTTTTTTGTTTGTACATACATAACCGATGATAAAGTATCGAACTTTTTTTGCTGCGTACTTTATTATCTATTTTTTTTCTCTTTGAAACTTTATTTATCTTCTTTTTTTGTATAGTATGTATTGTATATTGAACCTATCGATTTTTGGAACTATATTAAGATATATTTTTTTGTTCGTTACTTCTTCTATGAATTAATAATCTTGATGAGCAGTGTGCCTCTACTTTTTTTTTTCGATATATTGTTGAACTATTTTTGTGTGTATTTACTCGATTTTAACGATGGGAGTAAGAGAAAGATTATAATAATAATAAACAAGATCTATATGATCAAAAAAAACATAAATAGAATTCTTGATTGTATTTGTTGGTTCAATTTTTTGAACTATTTAAATACTAGCGTCCTCAATTTTGAATAATTGACAAATACAAAGTCATATCAAGATATGTCAACATATATATTCAAGTATAATAATGTTAGTTCAATAGAATATTGGACAAGTGTCTGGAAGATTATTATCTTTTCAAATTGAACTGGTAGATCTTGATATTTAATATACGGAGCATATCTTCAATATAAAAAAAGGTTATCTATGTTTACTCTTTACACTATTAGGGCTGAAACATTTTCTTTTTCTATTTATACTTTTATACATAATTACATATAGATGTTTTTCTTTTCTAATTAACTTGATTTCCTTGATTCTCAAATATTTTCTTTCAGAGAAATGTCAATAGTATATAGTTTATCTTAAAAATAAATTCTTTCAGGAAATTAGACTATTTAAAAAGTAAACACTATTGCTGTCATGTAAATCATAAAACGTAATTATTACGAAGAATTTTTTTAATTGTGCTTTTTATCACCTAAATGGAGTATATTCCGTTGTTGAGGCCTGGACAAAAATGTAAGTACGTTATTATTTAATAATCATTAAGACTAATTATCGAACGTAGTTTTATCGGGATATATTCATTAGATTTATGATTTTCTAAACTGGAGTACCTCTAATAGAATAGTGTGTACGTTTCGTTGACACAATAACAAAAAATATAAATCATCGATAGGTAAATGTGCGCAAATAATTATTCAGGTCGCAATATAATTAAAAATACATATATATATATATTGTTTGTACTTATCCTCAGGTTAGTTAAAGGGAAATTAGTAATATAATTTGTGTACATGTTATTATTTCTCAAGGACTTCCTTTTTATATTTATGATCGAGACAAAAAAAGTAAAAAGTGCATGATTATGTCTCATCAAATATATTTATTGTTATTAAATAACAATAATAAGTATCTATGTTGACTAATAAATTACGTTGGAGAAAATACATAAAATAAAGATGATAATTATATACATCCGAGATAAATTTCATTGACGAATGAAAACGTACGAAAAGATAACTCTTCTTCATTGCTCACATTGGTCATGGTTCATTGCCTTTTTACTTTTTATTCATAACTTTTTTTTTATGATATGCAATTATTGTTCTTCATATTAAACTCCAATGAAATCTAATCATAGCAATCGTCATGTAAATGCTTCATATTCATTTGATCTTCCATCAAATAATAATAATTCCAAACAAGATGATTCTATATCATGTTCAAGTTTAAATATAGACACAACAAGTCATTTATATTATTTACCTTCTCATATAAATAAATTATCAAATCATGGACAAACATTAAATAAACGCTTATTGAATTCAATTGTTAATTATAAAAATGGTTTAATTATTAATGGTTCATTATTTGATGAACAATTATTTCAAGTTACACGTTCATCTTATATAACTGATTATGCAAATACACCACAAGATTGTAATCGATTTCTTGAAGGTCATAATAGAATATCAACATGTTCACAATTAGATGCTCATCTATATAAATTATCATTTATTATAACATTATCAGATTGGTATATTGATAAAGAACTCTTACTTGGATATTATCCACATGAAGATGATGAAATGAAAATTCTTGAAGAAATTTCACCTTATAAACATTTTTGTTTTCCGGAATTGAATCCTAAACAACGAAATGGTGGACAAATGCTAAATGATCAATCAACATATATATTTACACGAACATTATCAGATGGACATATGGAATATGGTTATTGTCGACGATTAACAAAAGATTCAAATCGAATTACAAAATTTCCAATTGTAATTTGTATAGTTTCAAGTCATTCGTATTTTAAACTTTATGATGCGATTCTAAATGAATTAGTTAAAGGTAAACATTTTCTCTCACTGTCTAGTATATAAATATTCGTATTGTGCTGTTTATTTGACTTCTAATCTTGATAAATAAGATTAGAACTATAATTGAATTTGATCTTATGTGCATGTCTATTCAAACGAGATTTTTTTCTTCTTCTTTTTTTCTAGCCTATATGTCAAATGAACTTGAATGTAATCTTCTAATGCAATCGTTTCATTCAAAACCCTTACCTATACCTACAGTAAACTCATCAGGTGTTACATGTATACTTAATGATCGTCGTATATTTTTCTATGTATGTCCACGTGATGATCGTCTTAATCATGATTATTATTCCACATTACTTTCATGTCTATCACCATATCAAATTATTTATTTATTTGAAGCAATGTTACGTTCAAAACGTATATTATTATTTTCACATTCTCCATCGAAATTAACAAAATGTTGTCTTGCACTTTCACTTTTAATCTATCCATTTCTATGGCCATATTCATTTGTTTCAGTGATGCCATCATCATGGATATCTGATCTACTGGATTCTCCATGTCCATTTATATATGGTTGTTTATATGAAACAAAAGATCAAATTCCAAAAACATTGGATAATGATCTATTACTTGTTGATCTTGAATTAGGTGAAATCGATGGTAATATTGATGCAACACATTTTTTACCATTTAATCTTCGACAAACATTAGAATTTTCACTTGATTATTTAATAAGATTTCGTTTAATGAAATCAAATTCAACATTAATTAACATCGCTGTTAGTGAAGCATTTTTATATGTATTTATTGAATTATTACATCGTTTACCAGATTTTTTTAAACGTGATAATCCATTACCTAAAAATGATAGTCATTTTTCTATATGTACAAATTATTTTCAACGTCATGATAGTGGTATTGAGCTTGAACCAATTGATTTACAACAGATAACACAAAATGAACATAAACAACAAGAAGAAAATCGACTTGGTTATGAATTTAATTCCGAGGAATTTCTTCGTCTTCAACCAATGTCTTCCTATGTTTCATTTCTAAAAGAATTTATTCATGGTATAAATACATATTTAATTGATTATTAAATTAAAAAATTATAATTTATTTTTTTAGGAATGTTATTTCTTAAATTTCTTGATGATTATCAACGTAAAGAAGATTTATTTTCATTATTTACTCAACGTTTAAACGAACGACGTCAAATGACAATCGATGATTTATCTATAAATCAATTAGTACGATTCCGGCAAACATTCGATTTATTAGAGAAACAAATTAAATTAACACCAAAACAAACAAATCCATCATTTTCAAAATTTCTTAAAAAAATTTTTGAATAATTATTTCAATATTACGAAAAATCAAACTTTCTTTTAAATATACATGAACGATAATTAATTTATATATTTTTAAATAAATATATGTAAACTTCCTTTTTTTGCCTTTCTGAATATGAACGTGTTAATTTCATTTAGAAACACATATGAATAGCAACGAAAAAGAAAAACGACGTGAGTATGAGTATAAACAGATCATTAGAGTGTAACATAAAACAGATTTAAACATTATTGAAAATGACAAAAAAATCGGTTCGGTGTATATCAAGAGGTTTTCTCGATACTTTTTTTTATGAAATCTATATATATATATATATAAATGCATTTATTGAGTATAAAATGGTAATTACCAATATACACTTGACTCGATCTCGTGCATTTTACAATTTGGTCTCTCTTTCTCGATCATTTCCGATGCCTCGACGACAACAAGGCACGAACGCAAGAAGAACAGGACAATTACTCTGATTAATTCATTCATTGATTGAACATTTCTCGTAGCTTTCTTTTTTTTTTATTTCTAAACGTCATCGTCTTCAACATTAATGTGTTATATTTTATGACTCGATTAACACTAAACAACAAATAATAAAAAATCGTGATAATGAAAATAACCTCTTGTACTCTTCTGTTCAGGTTATTAATTATTCATTGTCAAAAGTTTTAGTTTCGATCAACTAATAGGTTCAATCATTAATAAACTTCAATTCATCGTAGTACGACATCGTAACATCCTTCTTCCCCCTCTCTTTCTTTCTTTTTTATTTCTTTCTTTTTCTTGTCTTTTAATTCAGTATTGCCCCGCGCTAGTATCAAAAATACAAACCGTGCAAAGTGAAGTGATGATGATGACGAGTGATTGTGAGTGGGAGAGAGAGAATATAGAAAGAAAAAAGAGAGAGAAAGAAATTGATTAAAGGAAAAATCTCTGTTGGAAAACGACACACATAGACCGAGCAGCTAATTGTCCGTTCATTTTTAATCAAGAACATTATTTGTATGTATGCATGTAATGATGCAAAACGTACGACCGAAAACTAAATAATAACTACTCTTATCCTTATTAGAGTAAAGTAAGACTATCAATTGTTTATTTTTATAAGTAATTGGTAAACATTTAAATATGATTTGTTTTTTATTTTAGTTCTCGTTTTATATTTAAATTATCTAAAATACAATAGTCGTCTATGTTTTTTTAACCTAATGAAGTATAAATGACATTGACTGATCAATATTATTAGTCATTTATTTGATAAACTGTTTTTCGATTAAATTTGGATCGTTGACTTCTGTAATTTTTTTCATAAGAATGATAAATTGAAAGTATAGACAACCTCTATTAAAAGTCTATAAAGAAAACTTTTTAGCTATCCGTCATCTAGCGATATAATGAGATTTCACCACAAAATCTAATAGTTCTATCTAATGCATGAATGCCTAAAGGTATGCATTAACATACGTCATCGTTTCCCTCTTCTGAATTTCTCCCTTTGATTAAAAATAAATCTGTTGCTTATTTTATTCCAGTATATATATCTCTTTTCTCTTTCTCTTTCGGCCTACATATATATATATATATACAGTTGTTTTAGAATTTTGTCTTTACATTATTTTTTGAAAACTTGTTTTTATTTCCTATCTAGATTTATTTATTAAAATATATCAGTTAACTAAAGAAGAATCATGCAATACCAATCACTCCTCGCTTATATATTTGTCGCCCTTTTTGGTATGTCATTTTTAATGGTCCAAGCCAATAAAGAACGTGAACAATTTACTGATCTATTGCAAAAACGAAAACATCTTAATGGTTATTGGGTAGGCAAACGATATGTAATTGCATCTGATGAAGATATAAATGACAGTGGTAAAAAATACAAGAATCTTTTCTCTCTTTCTATTTTAATTATATTATTTTTAGATGAAGATTTATCAGAAACCAAACGAGCATCTTATTTAGTGGGCAAACGTGGTACATATTTAGTTGGTAAACGAGCCTCGTATCTTGTTGGACGTAAACGTCGTGATTTGATGGCTACAGATAATTCTCAACAATAAACATTTACCAACATTTGTACACGAAAAAAAAAATAATAATAAATAAATGAAAATTCTCTTATTGTATCTATCGCTCAACAGCACTGAAAATACATTTTAAAAAATATCTCTTCTTTTTTTTTGCTTCATATAATAAATGAAACGATAAACATTATCAATGAATACATTTACATAACTATTACTGTTAACATGTAAAAAAAAATTTTACATGTCTTTATTCGACAGTTATATTGTTATTCTAGACATTTTGGTTTGTATAAGACAAGTTGATTTGATAAAATATTAGTAAATTAACTTTGACTGTTCATTTGAGAAATTATATTTAGTTTCAAAGAAATTTCTATGCAAATTTTTCTTATTATACTCAAGGGAAATAAATGTCTTCAAAAAAAAGAATGTCTTATATTTAAAAAAATCAAAAAATTTTTATTTTTCACATACGAATGTTTTATAGTATAAATATTATTAGATCAATCTCTTGAAGGATCATATACGCGTGTTGGTTAGACGACAACAAGTAAAATTTATTCGAGCAAGAAGTGCTACAATTGTTATTCATAATAATAATCATGGATTCATTCAGCTAGAAAAGCAAATGACTATTGAGTATCATTAAACGTTAAAATACTAAAAAATTTTAATAGTACAATATTTGCAAAACAAAGATGATTAAAATAGAGAAGAAAAAGTTCGTATAGACATTTATTATATTGATAATTATCATTGTTTTCTTTTCATCGTAGGTAGTTATGTGAATAATTGATTATATTTGTAGTCTGCATAAACGAGAATGTTTTGTAATTGTCTACGTCATATTTTTGATTTTACTGTCATGTCCTAAATGTATTCAAGTTAGTTTCTTTTCAAAAGATTTCCTTATGATTTTATATACAAAAGGCTATTCTAGTAAGAAAATAATTGAATCTAATGGTTTTTTGATGCACTTATTAATCGAATAAGAATATTGACTTCATATGGAAAATATTTCCGTTTTTATTTTTTAAATTTATTTTATGATATACTTCAGTTTTTTTAAAATATATCTATGATTTTTTTTTGTTTTGGTTCATATTGATACTTATTTATTCAATTTTATATGATGATGTTCGTTTGATCTCGATCAGAATCGATAATACGTGAACCAGTAGTAAAATCTTATTTTTAATCCTTCGTTACATATCAAATGTATCGTGTTCTTTTAATTGGCAAAGAGCTTATCTAGTTGGAATTACACGATTTACTTTTCATTAATTAGTTTTCTTTTTCTTAGAAAAATATCATTTTTGCTATCGAGGATTTAGTATCTGTTGATTAAAAAAAATCGTTTTCTTAATTGAGGATTTACTTTTCAATGAATATTTGAGAGATGAAGAAACGATCTATCAATGCAATAAAATAATGGTTAACTAAATTTTCCGTTTCAGTCATAATTTCGTAAAAATGAATATAAGAGTAGGAATTGAGGATTCTTTTCTCTTCATATCCGAAGTTTTAGCATTGATTATGAGATTACACGACGATCTGGATACTTCAACTTGAAAACATCACAAAAGTACTGTTATTTCCGATGAAATTATGGCAACGTTATGATGAAGATCATATTGACATTCTAGTATTCTTTAAAAGTGGCTCGGTTGAGATATTTTTTATTGTAATTTTACTTTGATATATATTGATTATGGCATGGATAGTTTGTTTCTCCTTTTACAAACAATCAGTAGAAAGTAAATCTTATATACAATCTAACTGTAACATATAATTTATTTTTACTGACGTCATCGATTTTTCTTTCATCTTGAAGCTATAGTTAACACATTTTAATTTAATATGTGATACTTATAAAAAATATGACATACAACTATTTATGTTTAATATAACGATAGTTGAAGCGATAGATACGTAATGAATACTCAAAAATTAATGAAATATTCTTTGTTTTTATTTTATTCTTAAAAATAATGATGCAATAAAACTATAAACTCTTAACTTAAATCTATATAAAATCAAGTGCAATTTAAGTAATTGTGTCTGATATATATCAATGACGTAATTGAGTAGAATTCATCATCACCATCATCAACAACAAACAAAGATTGTATTATCACATCACAATGTCTCTTGCGGTCAAATAGACAGACAAACAAAAAGAACACTTGTTTGGTCTGTAATATTGTTAAAATATACACACATTCACCGGTATATTATATGCTCGAATGCTAACAATAGAAGATATGCTCTCATTCATATTCAGATGTGAATATTAGATTGACTCGATGTTTTTTTATGCAATACATGCACGTACTCACACTATCTATAGGGTTACACATTGCATCGTTAAACACATTGAACGTATACGTGTATATATATATATATACATATATATATTTTACTTGATCATTATCACTACAATATACAGAGGAGAGAAAAAAAAAGAATCTAACGTTCATTGACACGATTCATTCATCCATCTAACAACGAAACATTTATACGCATACAAATCATTCTTCGTTTTCGGTTTCGTTCTTCATTCAAAATGATCTTATTTTATATAGATCGAAAGGCAATTTTTTGTCTTTTGATTTTAATCTGCTTGAATAATTATTGTCAATGTATTAGTGAATCAGATTTTTTCATTTATAAAGATGGCATTGAATTATCAAAAGAAGATGATACACATTCAGAACAAATTATTCTTTCACCTGAAATAACATTTATTACAACGAAATATGAAAGTGTCTATGTAAGTAATTGAGATTTATTTTGAGAAGAAGAAAAAAAAAAGACTGAATTTATTATTCGATAAAGATCAATACAAATGGTTTTCTATCATTTTTATTACCAATTGCATATTTTTTTCCTCAAATAACATTAACAAGTTATAGTGGATACGCTATTATTGCACCATTTTGGGCTGATATTGATACATCAATTAAAAATGGTTCTATTACTTATAAGTAATATTCGTTTTCTTTTCTTTAAAGTTATTATGGTATATATATGTGTTTTAAGATATACGAAAGAAGAACATTTACTTAAAAAAGCCAAAGAATTAATACAAGAAGGTTTTCCACGATCAACAAATTTCGAACCAACGTCAATATTAATATGTACTTGGACAGATGTTCATTCATTTTTAAATAAAGATGATAAGGTTAAAATAATATTTAGAATTAGGAAAAGAAAAAATGCGATAACTGATACAAATTATTTTAATTTTTATAGAAAAATACTTTTCAAGTCGCTGTTGTTAGCGATGGAACACAAACCTTTTCTATATTCATGTATGCAAAATTAGAATTCGTATCAGCTTATAGTCCTGCAAAATTAGGTCGAGAAGATCGTTATGCTGAAGCAGGTTTTACTGATGGTACAGCTCAACAAACAGTTGTTCTACCAGGATCAGGCGGAGAAGCTGGAATCAATTTAGCGAAGTATGTATACGAAATAAAACTAAAAATCAAAAATACATATAATCAATAGGGAATCAAATATTGGTAAACCAGGTGTTTGGATATATTTAATTGGAGATCGACGTCGTTATGGAAGATTTCGTATAACACCAGCAGGAAGTGAAGATGATGTTGAAGAAATTCTTTCACCAGTAGAATGTAAGATATTTTATGAATTAAATTAATTTCTTTGTTTTATTTTTTTCACTATAGCACATTATTCATCCAATATATATCAACATTTACCTCAAAATTCTTATCGTGAACATGCAACATCTCCATCGACAACAACAATTCCACCTGGTATTTATTAATACAATGATTTCCTATGAAGAATTATTTAAATATTTTAGATGCAATTGAATGTAAATCTTGTTCACGTAATGCACGATGTGAAAATCAAGGTAATGGATATTGTTGTCGATGTCTATTTCCTTATCTTGGTTCTGGACTTCGATGTGAACGTGCTGGTAAATTTTTATTCTATTTTGTTTCTTTTTTTTGTTATAATTATTATTTAAATAGAAAATTATCCGGTTGTGGGTAAAATCAATGGAACAATCAATGGTCAACAAATAGATGTTGAATTACAAGGCTATGTTTATATTGAAGATGGCCGAATACATAATTCTCTTTATAATATGCCTTTGATTCATTCAAATTTTCAACAATTATTACCATTATTTAATACAATCAATTGGTTATTTGGTACAATTCATCGATTTTCAGATCCAATTGATAATGGTTTTGCTCTTACGGGTATACTTTTTTGTTTTGTTTTTAGTTATTCTTTGTATTAACATAAATTTGTTTAATAGGTGGTGTATTAAATCGTTCAGCTTTAATACGTACATTTGAAGTTGATAATACAACAGAACAATCAATTTTAACTATTGAACAATATTTTCGTGGAATTGAATCAGGTGTTCTTCATGTTGAAACATATATTAATGGTAGTCTTCCACATCCTGAAGGAAATTTATCGGTTACAGTTGGAAATAATAATATTAAATATATTAAACGATCATTAGGTTTATTTAAAAAAATTTTATTTTCCCAAAAAATATTTATATAAACTATTTTCTAGGACATTATGATGCGAAATCATTGACATCGTATTCTTTAATATCAAAACTTGATACGAATTCAACTATAACATATAATATGAGTTATGAAATTGAGGATAGTTTAACATTCTATGAATGTCCACATAATCCACATCGATCACCAAAAGAAATTGTTGTATCAAATCAAGATAGTCATATTTATCATTCAATTGAAGATACAACTATACGATTTTTTACGGTAACTAAAATTGGTACTCAAGGTAATATTACAAAAAAAATTCATTTTAAATTAAATATAAGATCTTCTTTATTAGCACCTAAATTTGATCCATGTGATTCATCACCTTGTCATGGTTTTGCTCAGTGTATACCAAATTTTGAGCAAAATACTCATGAATGTAAATGTAATTCAGGTTTTCTTGGAGATGGTGTACGTCGTTGTGATGGTAAACATGAATATTAAATTTTTTCATCTCATTTTGATATACATATAGATATTAATGAATGTATTCAATCACCATGTCATTCAAATGCTATATGTACAAATACATATGGAAATTTTACATGTGAATGTAAACGAAATTATATTGGCAATGGATTTTTCTGTAAACCAATTAATGATGAAAGTATGAAATGAAAAGATAGTTCATTTTTTTTTTGTTCAATACTATTTTTTATTAGTTGAAACATGTACAACAAAAATTTGTCCACAATTTTCAACATGTATACAAGATCCACATACAAGACATGCACGATGTTTATGTAAAGAAGGTTGGCAAATGACTGATGATCATGAAAATCATATTAATGGAAATTATAAATCAATTTGTAAACCAAAACAATGTAATGAATATTATAATTGTGATACAAATGCTAATTGTGTTATTAATGAAAATACACAAAAATATGAATGTATATGTAAACCAGGTTTTTATGGTGATGGATATTCATGTACAGCACATTTTTGTTCATCGGATGGTGATTGTGGTTATAATGCACATTGTTTACCTGATGAACAACGGCCAGGTTTTAGTAAATGTGTTTGTGATCCGGGATATCTTAATGATGGAACAACATTTTCAACTTGTGTAAAAGATGGTAAAAGAATGAGAATGAATTGTATTGAAATTAAATCGGATTTTGTTTTTAGTGGTTTCATGTAATATTGAAAATAAATGTCATGTTAATGCTCAATGTATATATAATGAACGTATAGATCGACATGTATGTTTATGTCGAACTGGATATAAAGGCGATGGAATAACATGTCGTCATGAACGTATGATATTTTATTTTTCTAATTTATTTTTATTAGAAATTTCAATTTAGATTCTTGTCTTGAAAATGCAACAATATGTTCATCATCAGCTGCTTGTGTTTATGATCCAATTCTTCAAGATAATGTTTGTTCATGTCGAGATGGTTTTGTTGGTGATGGAATACAGTAAATAATTTTTCTCAGTAAGAAAATAATAAAAAATCTAATCTTTTTCTAAATATAGTTGTTCGGAAACACTTGGTGGACCAAAAGAACAATTTTTAATTGTTAATCAAGGACAAACTATTTTAAAAGTACCTTTAACAGCATCAGGTTCAACAAATAATGGTGATAATCGTATTCTCTATGTTCCACGTAAAGCATCTTAGAAAAATGAAGAAAAATGAGATTTGTTTTTGTTTCTTTTCTAAATAGGAATGCGTGCTGTTGGAATATCGGTTGATTGTCAACAACAGTTTATTTATTTTACTGAAACATCTGGAAAAACAATTCAACGAATGAAATATGATGGCACTGATCAAAAAATAGTTCTTGATGGTAATTATACAGAAAATAAATTTTCATAAAAAAAAATGAATTATTTTATTTTAGGACTTGGTAGTCCAGAAGGTATTGCTATTGATTGGGTATCTCGTTTAGTATTTTGGACAGATTCATCATTAAAACGTTTGGAAGTTGCTAAATTAGATGGTAGTTTACGTAAAATTCTTCTTGATAAAAATATTCAAAATCCACGTGGTATTGCTGTTAATCCTGAACTTGGGTTTGTTTAAAATATTATTATAGAATTCAAAATCAGATATATATATTGTTGTTCTATAGATATATTTTTTGGACAGATTGGAATCGACAAAATCCTCGTATTGAACGAGCTAATATGGATGGTAGTGAACGAAAAATTCTTGTTTCCGATAAACTTGGTTTACCAAATGGTCTTTATTACGATCATCATCGTCGAGAATTATGTTGGGGTGATGCAAAAATGAAAACAATTGAATGTGTACGAGATGATGGATCAAATCGACGTGTTATTTTAACAGATCAAACAACAATGATATTTGGTTTAACTGATGGACTTCAATATGCATATTGGACAGATTGGTCAACGTAAGAACAATTTTAATAAATATAAAAAGAATATTATAACTTATATATTTAGAAATAAAATTGGTCGAATTGATAAAACACCAAATCGTACACCTGAAAGTATTCTTTTACCACCTGGTGGCAATGGTAAATTATATGGATTAATTGCAGTAAAAGATTCGTGTCCAACTGATGGTAATAATAGAAGAGAAAATTGAAAATATGAATATTTGATTAATTTATTTTAGTTAATAATGTTTGTGGTGAAAATAATGATTGTACAACTGGTCAATTATGTTTACCTAATTTAAGTCTTCGTGCAAAACGTGTTTGTCAATGTGCTGATAATGCCGGATTACAATGTCTTCTTCGTGAACGACCACCACCTCCACCGCCTCAACTTGCTTAAACATTTTTGCTTATTTCATATTGTCATTTTTTTCTCCGTTTTTTTTTCTTCATTAGAATAATTATTTGTCATTTAAGTTTTATGTAATATTTTCTGATTTTTTGTTTTAACTTATCTTCTATGTTCAGTAAAAACGTCAAGAATTGATAGATATCGCTAGTAACCTATCGAAAATGCAAGAAAAGAAAAATGTTTCATATGATTGACGATAGATATATAACATATGAGTCATTTGAGCATTGCCAAGAGAAAGAACGTTGGAAAAAAATATTAATATTAATTTGTTTCTTTCTAATACATTTAAAAATCTTGAAAAATATAATTTTAAATTTGTTTGTATGTAAAATTATAAAAAAAGAAAACTTTTAGATGATAATATGAATCGTTCATCTATTAAAACGGAATTTAATGATGATAATAGTGAATCAGATCGTTTATTTCCATTAACAAAACGACATTGTCAATCACCTAATTCTAGACAATGTCTTTCAAGTCAATCATCATGTGTTTTTGTTGATTTAAAATCTAATCATACGAAAGAAAATAAAGAACTATGTAGATCATGTGGAAAACAAGAAAGATTATTAAAAACATTTAATTGTCCATCATCACATTATTTTTGTTTAAATTGTATTTTTAATTGGACACAACAACATATTCAAGTATGAAACGAAATTTTATATATATTTATTTATTTTTTTGCCTATTTTATAGAATAAAACACGACCAATATGTTTAGTAGTAGATTGTGGGTATTTCTTAAAAATCGAAGATCTTGGTGATTTACCAATTGCTTTAAAAGATCATCAAATACTTCTTCAATTAATTGAATTGAAAATTGAGAATAAAATAAATAATCAACGTAGAAAATGTGATAAATGTTATTTATATATTGATCAACATAATTTTTATGTACATCATAATGAATGTCTTGGACGTTCATTAACAATTCCATGTGAAATATGTTATTGTCCAGTTTTTATTGAAGATTATGAACAACATATGTTAATATGTAATAATGATGATAATTCAACATTATCCCAATTTTTATTTAAACATGTACCAAATCCAAATATTGAAGAAAAAAATATTAAATTATTTATTCGTTCATGGCAACGAAAACATCGAGGATCTATAGATATTTATGAGATGATAGAAGAATTTAATTCAACAAACAGTATGTTTAGAAAAAAATAAATTGAATTGTTATTTTAATTTTATTATAGCTTTATCAACTGAAATATGTGATGTATGTAAAAATACAGTTCGATCAGATGAATTTTATTTAATTAATTGTAATAATAATCATTCATTATGTTTATCATGTTATAAACAACATATACAAAATCAAGTTAGTTTAAAGTTTTCTTCGAGTAAATGATTGTAGATTTTAATTTCGTTTTCTCTAGATGAACAAGAATGAAATCTTATCATGTTTTCAATGTGATTATTATTTACAAGATAAAGATCTGTTAGAAATTCGTGTATTTACTGAAGAACAAAGTCTTTCATTTCAAAATTATCAAAATAGAAAAATTTTCGAATCATATAATAGCCTTTATGGTACAGATATATACTATACAAATCAAGTTAATCTAGAACAACAAAATGTAATACAACCACCGCTACCAACAACAACAACAACAACAACAAATACTGATGATGTACCTCGTCGTAAATGTGAATTATGTTCAAAATTACATTCATATGTAGATATATTCCTATTAAATTGTAATTGTAAAATATGTTATGATTGTTTTGCTAACGATGTTAATCATCAACGATCAACAGCAAATGAATTACTCAGTTAATATTATATTTTCTGATGAATAGTAATATTAGGAAATTTTGTTTTTTAATTTTAGTTTGTTCACTTTGTCGTGCTTCAATAAAACATAATGATTTAGGAAATTTACGTTTAGCACCTGAAGAAATTAAAATATTACAGTTATATCAACAAGGAAAATTATTTGAACTTGAACATGCAGTTCATTTTACTAAAGAAAAGACTAATAATCAGGTTACATTTTTTGTATTTAAAATTTTTTTTATTTATTAATTATGAATATATATTTTTATAATTAGATAATAAATAATACTGATAATAATAATGATGATGATGATTTTGATCTTGATATATCACTTGTAAATCAACAACAATGTTTACCTAAATATTGGACATTACCAATGTTAACAAATTTTACTCGTCATACACTCGATGCACAATCAACAGAATTCAAATTTGTATCTGATAAATTTGATAAAAGTTGGGCAAATTTTAGAAAACAACATGCAATTCCTCCTCCTCCTCCACCTTCGACATCTGTACCGCCATCATCTGTGGTTGCACAAATAAATAATCATCAGCCAGGAACAATACCACAGTTTACTCCTATACCGCCGCCACATTTCATCAATCGTAATCATGGACTTCCAACAAATCAAGTTCCACCATTAATAGCACACAATAACTATAATACTTTACCAGGCTTTCTACCCACTGTACCGCATACTTTGGCTCCACCACCATTACCAATGCCTTCCGTTCCTACTTCTGTTTTTCCACAACAGATGTATCAATATCGAATGCTAGCTCAGCCGACAAACGGTCCACCTCAATTACCAGGTCAACGAGTCGTAGTACGATCTCGTAGAACTAAAGCTCCTGATCAGATTATTAATACACCAACAATAATTCAAATCGAACGAATACAAAATCAACGGTGGTTTAAACAATATTCAGCACATGATTGTGAATTTCGACAAAAATTAGGCAAACAAACTGAACAATGGCTTTTTCATGGTAAATTATAAGCAAATATATAATAAACTTTATTCAATTATTCATTTTTACAGGTTGTGATGAACGTTCATCCAAAAATATTGAACTTGAGTGTTTTAATCGTTCATATGCAGGGCAACATGGTTAGTTAACATTGAAAGCTAACAAAAATCATTTCAATATTTGTTTTTTCTTTAGCTGTAGCTTTTGGACAAGGTTGTTACTTTGCTCGAGATTCTGTATACAGTCATAGCTATTCATTACCTGATCGTAATGGTATTCGACGAATGTTTCTTGGTAAATAATATTGTAATTTGTAAAATATAATTTATTTATCCTTCTCCATTTTGTTTTCAGCTCGAGTTCTTGTTGGTAATACAACTCAAGGAAATTCAAGTATGCGTGTCGCACCACCAGGTTTTGATACTACCGGTGATTGTCAAAGTATATTTGGTATGTTGAAAATAGATTTATTTTATTCATAAATTTCTTCTTATTTAATTTCCATTAGTAACATATCATGATTCTCAAGCATATGCTGAATATTTGATAAGTTATCGGTGATGAACAATGGTGAATTAATGTCATTTCGAAAACTCAGAATTTGATTTTCTTTTGTGAATAAAAAATAAAAATGAAACAATCAATCAGTGCATGTTTTCTCTTTTTCTTTTTACACATATATGTCTGTCATATTTTGATTCGAAAGCTTTATTCTCTTCTTTTTTTTTCTCTAACGAAAACGTGTTTGTTGTTTGATATTAAACAAGAAAATATATGTATAAATAAAACAAAGAATGACAATAACACAATAAAAATCTTGATATATAACGTCGAAAATATTCTATGGAGAGGATGCGCAGACTCTGCACTATGTGACTTTTATTAACAAGCATTTAAATAAATCATCAAGTAATACATGATACTTCTTTCGACTGACGTAAGACATATTGATATAGTCATAAGAACTGTCAACATCGAACGAAAACATATGTAGACAAAGTTGATAAATACAAGGTGGCCACGCATGACTAAAACGACTTTCGGATATAAAAATAAATACATATACGATATCATGGAATACGATCTATTATTAAGTATAATTACGCTTTCGAAATGAGTGATTCAAAAAACGACGAAGTACGAGTTCTACCAGAGGAAACTCAAAAACTATCATCATTTAATAACAATCTTCCTAATCCATCTCGACCAATTCGATTCTTATTAAGTAGAAGACAAGCATCAAGAACGAAGAGTACTGTTGGTCTTATTCACGAAGTAGATACTGTCGAGGAACCAGAAACAACAAAACTTGCTCTACCAAAAACTTATGGTTATTTAGAACATATACAATCGTTTAAACCTTTATGTACACCTGATGACAAAAAACTTCCAAGAAAAGTGAGGTAATTACACAGTTCATCAAGTTCATGATGTCTAACTAAGTATTGTCATAATATTCTTTGAATCGAAAATATTCATTATGCTACTCAGGAATATTTAATAGATCATTCTCAGAATAAAGTAAGAATCTTAAACATGGAATATGATATTCTAGGTTAATTAGTAATGACGATAACCAGTGGCGTAGTCAGGATTTTTAGACTAATGGACAAGGTTCTCCTGTGCCAGAAAAAACGATGGGTAAAATGGGCAAGATTTTTATTGATACACCAAAACTATGTGGCCTAGCAATGTACTGATAATGTAAAAAATATAGAAAGAATGAAATAAGGTTCTTTTAATAGAACATGCATTAAGCTCAGATCTTAAGCCTGAGTTAGATGTATTTTTAGTCTATTTTAGTGTCTCTATTTATAGCATTTATGTATATAATTTCGATATTTTATCTAGATTTATATTAAGATCTTTATGAATCTAAGCAACAGCAAGTCCTTTTAATCTGTTTTGTTTTATTGTAGACCTACAATAACTTCTAATTCTCGACAATTAATTGAAACTTCTCTCAACAGAAGCTGCTGATACAGGCCTGTCCTCTGTTCTTGTTTCTCTTCTATACCTTTACGTGGTCAGCGTTTTTCCGATACAACGGAATTCCTGTTCACCCAAACCTACAATTAAAAAACAAGAAGCAATTATTTTCGTAATTCTTCAAAGAATGAAGAAGCAAAGAGTGCATGTGTGCTTCAAACGGAGGAGGAAAATACAGTTATAAATTAATACAAAAATAAATAAACAATTTTGAAAAACTAGAATTTCAATGAGCAAATCTCCATGCGAAATGGGCAATTACCCATTGACCTCCCCTGGCTACGCCATTCATGATAGCATTCAGTGCATACGACAAAATCTAAAAAAGACATGTGTAAGAAAACTGATTCTAATATTATGTTTTTTTTAATTTAGAAAATTTTATAAAGACCAAGTAAAATTAATAACATCAATTGAAGATGTTCTTGCACCAAAAAGTGACGAAGAAGAAGGCAAAGGAACAGATTCTCCGAATCATCAATCACGTAGTGTCAGAATATTGACGATGGTTTCTTTAATTGCTAATCTGGCATGTTATATTATTTTGTTACATCTTTTAATTATTATTTTTTCTTGCATTGAAGGTTCTTTTTATTCTCAAAATCATTGCTTTCATAGTATCAAGATCACTATCAGTTCTTTCTTCAGTAGTTGATAGTGCTGTTGATCTTTTAACCAGTCTTATTCTTATTTGGACACATCGGAAAATGAAAAAACGAGATTATTATAAATATCCTGGAGGTTAAATATTATAATATCTAATTATAAAATTCAACTTCGACATTTCATTTTAGGACGAACACGTCTTGAACCAGTTGCTATTGTTATTCTATCGGTAATTATGTGTGCAGCTAGTGTAGAGGTCATCTTTGAAAGTGGTCAAACATTAAATCAAGATATTGAATACTTTACACATAAGAATAGTAGTAGTAAATCAACATACACATTACCTCGTATTGATATGACTCTTCTACCTATTGTATCTATGGCTATTACTATCGGTAAATTTCAGATTTCTATTGATACTTTCGAAACAAATCTGATATTTTGTCTTTTTAAGTAACTAAAGCAATTCTCTTCATATTTTGTATTCGAGTTAAAAATCCATCGATATATGCACTTGCTGAAGATCATCGAAATGATGTTGCATCTAATATTGTGGCACTTGCTTGTGGACTTGTCGGTAGGTTTCGATCGTATATTATTTCTAGTTAAAATAAAGAAATGAGATCGATTGCATGTTTTAATAGACTTAAAAAAACAAGGAACATCTGACAAGAATGAAGAATTGTGAAGTTACCTAATATATATGTGTATCTACTGATTCTTTTAGCTTACAATGCTTTACAAGGTAAGATCAAACAAGAACTAATCGTGGTGGATCCAATTGGAGGAATCGTTATTTCAGTATATATCATCATTGCTTGGATCTTACAAGCAAGTAGTAAGTAATCTTGACTACTATTTTATATAATAAAAATTAGTTCTACAATCATTTTTATTGATCTTTTATAGCACAAATACGTAATTTAACAGGCATTTGTGCTGAGACTAAAGTTCTCCAACGACTTACTCACATCATATATAATTATCGTTCTGATGTGGTTACAAAAATTGATTCCGTTCAAGTTGCTCATTATGGAACAAATTATTTCGTCGAAGTGGATGTCGGTTTACCAGGTGCAATGCCACTTGCTGACGCCCATGATATCGCTGTAGACTTACAAAATCAGTTGGAAAGTATTGATGATATAGAACGAGCTTATGTTCATCTTGATTTCGAATTTTCACGCATACCAACTGCTGAACATAAAGATGTTTAATTTTTCTTTTTCTCTTATATATTTTTTGTTATGAAAAATATGCTATATATTTTATTTTATTATAAATAAATAACTTATGAAAATAATCTTAATAGGTATATATATATTCAATAAGTATTCAGATTTCTTGACATAATAAAAATGAATAATTTTAGCAAGATTTTGACAAAATAAAATCACGAAAGAAGAATTTATGTAATATTGTTATATATCAATCGAAAGTTTTTGAAAAGGAGAATCTAATGAACAAACGTGGAACTTTCTCGGCGCAAAGAAAGACGCATCCACAACAGCGTAAACGTGTAGATGACACCCTCATTAACATCCTTATCCTCTTATTTTCAGTTTTTTATTTGATTTCAAATGTCCACAGGAAATGATTTCCGGAATAAATGATTTCTCGTTCTTCAGTCTATCGATCAGAATAAGAAAATTTTAACTTACTTGTAAATCGGCTTTAGTAGATTGAATTTAATCTGTCGGGACATAAACTGGTTAATGTGCATGTTTAACTAGTCTTTGCAAGATTTGATTAGAAAATCAAAAGCAAACCTGTAATCAATTATATGATGAGAAAGAGGAAAGTCTTAGTTACAGAATGGTTATAATACATTCTTTTTATTTATTCAAAACTGTAAGAAAGTCCGAGTGATTTTCGCCGACGGGTAGGCCCAAAAAGTGCTTAATTTGTTCTTTCTCGCTTCAAACTGCTATGGCTAGCACAGCCAAAGTCTTGCTAATTTTACGATAAGTAAAATATAGTCTAGGAGTATTTGAAAAAAATATTAAAATTTATTGAGTAGAAGTCGAAATATAAGCGCCTTAGTGTTCGATACACAACCGGATAACGGCAGCGCAAGTCACTCATATATGGTATGTTGAAAATAAATTTAATTTATTCATACATTTCTTTTGGTCTAATTTCATTTCGAAAATTTAGAATTTGATTTCATTTTCTAAGTAAAAAATAAAATGAAGCAATCAATTAGTGCATGTTTTCTCTTTTTCTTTTTACACATATATGTCTGTCATATTTTGATTCTAAAGTTATATTCTCTTCTTTTTTTCTTCTCATGAAAACGTGTTTGTTGTTTGATATTAAAAGGAAAAATATATGTATAAAAAATAAAGAACGAAAATAAAATGATAAAAATCTTGGCATAAAACGTTGAAAATAGTACATTGGGCGGATACGTAGACTTTGCACTATGTGACTTTTATTAACAAGCATTTGAATAAATTATCAATTAGTCAATGGTACTTTGTTCGATTGATATGAGGCGTATATTGATATAGTCACAAGTACTGTCAACGTCGAGTGAATACATATATACATAAAGTTGATTAATACAAGGTTGCCATGCATGACTAAACGATTTATCAGTATAAAAATAAATGCACATTGAATATTATATCGAATTCGATCTACTAATAAATATATTGCGCTTTTCAAAATGAGTGATTCAAAAAACGACGAAATACAAGTTTTACCAGAAAAAACTGAAAAACGATCATTTTTTAATAACAATCTTCCTAGTCCATCTCGACCAGTTCGATTCTTATTAAGTAGAAGACAAGCATCAAGAACAAAGAGTACTGTTGGCCTTGTTCACGAAGTGGATACTGTCGAGGAACCAGAAGCAACAGAACATGCTCCTCTAACAACTTATGGTTATTTAGAACATATACAATCTTTTAAACCTTTGATGACACCTGATGACAAAAAACTTCCAAAAAAAGTGAGGTAATTACACAGTTCATTAAGTTTGTTATGTCTAATTAAGTATTCCTATAATATTTTTTTTGATCGCAAATATAAATTATGCGACTCACAAATATTTCATTGATCATAGTCAAAATGAAATACCAATCGTAAACATGAAATATGATAATCTTTGTAAGAAAAAAATTTTGTTTTGTTTTGTGAAATAATATAAAGCTACATTCAAGTTATTTGGTAATAATGATAGTGTTCAATGCATACGACAAAATCTAAAGAGGACATGTGCAAAATGACTGATTCTAATATCATGTTTTGTTTTTAATTTAGAGAATTTTATAAAGACCAACTAAAATTAATAACATCAATCGAAGATGTTCTTGTACCAAAAAGTGACGAAGAAGAAGGCGAAGGAACAGATTCTCCGAAAAATCATCAGCGTAGTATCAAGATAATGACGATGGTTTCTTTAATTGCTAATCTGGCATGTTCTATTATTTTTATTAACTCTTTCAACTATTATTTATTATTTTGGTTAAAGGTTCTTCTTATTCTCAAAATCGTTGGTGCAGTAGTGTCAAGATCACTATCAGTCATTTCTTCTGTTGTTGATAGTGCTGTTGATCTTTTAACCAGTCTTATCCTTATCTGGACAGCTCGAAAAATAAAACATCGAGATTCTTATAAATACCCTGGAGGTTATCTATTAAGATATATAATTAAAAAATTTCATTTTAACATTTCATTTTAGGACGAACACGTCTTGAACCAATTGCTATTGTTATTTTATCGGTAATTATGTGTTCAGCTAGTGTACAGGTCATCTTTGAAAGCGGTGAAACATTAGACCAAGATATTGAATACTTTACACATAAGAATGGTAGTAATACATCATCGTACTCATTGCCTCATATTGATATGAGTATTGTACCTATTGTATCTATGGCTGTTACTATTGGTAAATTTTAAATCTCTTTTGTTACTTTAAAAACAACTCTGATATTTTGTCTTTTTAAGTAACTAAAGCAGTTTTATTCGTGTTATGTTATCGAATTAAAGATCCATCAATGTATGCTCTTGCTGAAGATCATCGAAATGATGTGGCATCTAATATTGTGGCTCTTGCTTGTGGACTTTTGGGTATGATTCAGATCTATACTATTTGTAGTTAAAATAGAGAAATGAGATTCATTGTATGTTTTAATAGACTTAAAAAAAAGGAATATTTGATAAGGATTAAAAACTATGAACTTATCTGATAAATAGATATATGCTGTAGTCACAATTAAAAGTTCAATTCTGACTAGACAAAATTCGAATCTTTTTTTCATAGATAGTAGAATGCGAAGAAAGACCAACGATTAAAGTGTGAACAGTTTTGTTTTTATTTTACAGTACTTTTTAACAAACATCATATAGTTCTAATTTTATTTAATCTATATTTTAGCATTCTCCTCACCTTGAATAACATTTGGTAGAGCAGAAAACACTTTTTCTTTATCATTAACTTGTACGATCGCTGTCTCCAGGTCTATTATTTTTTTAAGATGTGTGATTATTTATACACCAACTTATTTTCACAGGTACTTCTTACTGAAATTTTCTTTGTCTTTTGTCTTACTGAATTAGTCAATCATCGTACGTAACAGCTGTTCTTGATTCTGACCTAATTTGCTTAGTTCTGAGAATAACTATAATCAGCAGAAGAAGGATAGAAAGAGAAATCGATCAACACGCAAATATTTTACTGTCTTTTACCTATGCAAAAAAAATATTTGACTTTCGGCTAGCCAAATTTCAAACTTGACTGACGAGGGAACATCCCCAACTGAAGTATCGCTTTGGAGTTCGGGTCCGGTGTATAATGTAGAACCCGGTGAAGTATGAAAAACCTCAAAAGGATAAGGGCCCATAGGCCTTCTGTTCCGAGTTATAGGCAATATACTGAAATTTTAGCCTATGGTAGGGTATGTGGAAATAAATCGAATGACGGTATTTCGACCTGAGATTTTGCCCACAGAGAGGCCTATATGTGACTAGAATACCCTGAAAATTTCAGCTTAAAATAATGGTGCCTTCTCGAGATATTAAAGTCTCAAAAAATCACGTATATCCCACGAAACATACTAGAATTTCCTGTTTTTTGAGACGTTAATATCTCAAGAAGGAAACATTCTTTTGAGCTGAAATTTTCAGGGTATTCTAGTCACATATAGGCCTCTCTGTGGGCAAAATCTCAGGTCGAAATACCGTCATTCGATTTATTTCTACATACCCTCCCATAGGCTAAAATTTCAGTATATTGCCTATAACTCGGAACAGAAGGCCTATGGGCCCTTATCCTTTTGAGGTTTTTCATACTTCACCAGGGTCTACATTATGCACCGGACCCGAACTCCAAAGCGATACTTCAGTTGGGGATGTTCCCTCGTGAGTTTTAATTTTGACTACAATATATATGTACTGATGTTTTAGCTTACAATGCTTTACAAGGTAAAATCAAACAAGAAGTAATCGTAGTCGATCCAGTTGGAGCAATCGTTATTTCAGTATATATCATCATTGCTTGGATCTTACAAGCAAATAGTAAGTAATGCATACTACTTTTTGTTTATGTTTCTCACTATTTTCTATAGTCAAAATCAGTTCTATAGTCATTTTTGTTTATCTTTCATAGCACAAGTACGTAATTTGACAGGACTTGCGGCTGAGCCTAATGTTCTTCAACGATTTACTCATATCATATATAATTATCGTCCTGACGTGGTTACAAAAATTGATTCTGTTCAAGCTTCTCATTATGGAACAAATTATTTTATTGAAGTTGATGTCGGTTTACGAGGTTCAATGCCCCTTACTGAAGCTCATGATATCGGTGGAGGCTTACAAACTCAACTGGAAAGTATTGATGATATAGAACGAGCTTTTGTTCATCTTGATTACGAATTTACACACATGCCAGCTGTTGAACATAAAGATGTTTAATTTTTCTTTTTCTCTTATATATTTCTTGTTAAGAAAAATATATCCTGTATTTTATTTTACTGTAATCAAACAACTTATGAAAATAATCTAAATATGTAACTATTGTTCTATCATGTTCATAATTATAAATTAAATTTAAATAATACTTTATGATTTTCTTTCGACTGCTATTAATAATACAAGCTTTTCAGTATTTTTCAACAGTTTAGTGTTCTATAATTATTAAGAAATATGCTGAATTTAGTAACGTTTAAATTTTAATTAGCAGTATATAGTTTTATGATTTTGTGTGAATTATGTTAATTCATTCAAGCTATGATAAAAAATAAATTCAATGTCATACAGTTGCCATCTACGCTAGTTTTTCACATCTGCTTCGATCTAGTAGGAAAATCTATAGACTTCATTATCAATAGATATGTTTCGAATGACTTTCCTTTTTGATAGATAAAACTATACTTTTATATGAAATGTTCTATTTGTTTTATATTTTTCTTTTGAATAATAATAAAAAAAACAATAAATAACCATCCAATCATTATATATAAATCAAAGTTAATTTCTTCAATATTTACTGTCTTTGTTTGCAACGCTTTTGTCAGCTATTTGATGTTGCAGAAAAAAAGAAGAAGAAGAAAGAAATAGTGTCATTCCAAGATGAACAAGAAACAAGGGAAATTTAGATTTCATAGATACAAAAACAATTTTCTTTCCGTATGTCCAAATAGAGACAGAAGAAGAATATACCTAGAATAACGAAAGAAAAAAATAAATATAGGGAAAGGGAAAGAAAAGAAAAGTAAGGAAGAAAAAAACATGTATTAAACTCAAGTCTTTAGTCCGAGTTATGTGTATTTTTAGTCTGTTTTAGTGTCTGTATGTATAGCATTTGCGTTTTAAATTCAAATATCAAAGTCAGAACGACGAGAATTCATTTGTGTATATAATTTTAATATTTTATCTGGATTTATACCGAGATTTTTATGAATGCTAGCAGCAGTAAGTCTATTTAGTCTGTTTTGTTTTATTGTAGACCTACAATAACTTTTAGCTCTCGATAATTGACTAAAATTTCTTTCAGCTGAAGCTGCTGATACATACAACGTTACAAAGAAAATTAATAAATAACGAACATTTGGATATAATACACTGTTTTTTCTCTACAGCCAACATCCATTTTAAGTAAGTCATTACATGTTCACTTAAACATACAATTAAAATAAAGCAGCGACTCTCTACTTTTTGTCTTAACTTTTCACAGAAAGAACAAGCACAGAATGCGTGTTTGCTTCAAACGGAAGAAAAAAATACAGTTATAGTTTAATTCCAAAATAAATGAGCAATTTTGAAAAAAGTAAAATTTCAATGGACAAATCTGCTAATGAAATGAACAATGATGAACTAATTTCGTTTCTAAAATTCAAAATTTGATTTTCATTTGTAAATAAAAAATAAAAATGAAACAATCAATCAGTGCATATTTTCTCTTTTTCTTTTTACATATATATCTATCGTATTTTGATTCTAAAGCTATATTCTCTTCTTGTTTTTCTCTAACGAAAACGTGTTTGTTGTTTAATATTAAACGAAAAAATGTATCTATAAGAAAATAAAGAATGAAAATAACATAATAAAAATCTTCGTATAAAACGTTGAAAATATTACATAAAGATAATACGTCGGCTTTGTACTATCTGACTTGTATAAAAAAAGGTATTTGAATAAATCACCAATTAATGAGTAATACTACGTTCGATTCATATAAGGCATATATTTAAATAGTCACAAGTATTGTCAACGTCGAATGAATGTATACGCAGATAGAGTAGATAAATACAAGGTGGCCATGCATGACTAAAACGATTTTTGAGTATAAAAATAAATACATATACAATATCATATCGAATTTGATCCATTATTAAGTATAATTACGCTTTCAAAATGAGTGATTCAAAAGACGATGAAATACGAGTTTTACCCGAAAAAAGTCGAAAACGATCATCATTTAGTAGCAATCCTCCTAATCCAGCTCGACCAGTTCGATTCTTAATGAACAGAAGGCAAGCATCAAGATCAAAGAGTAATGCGGCTTTCGTTCACGAAATGGAAACTGTGGAGGAACCAGATACAACAGAACATGCTCCTCCAACAACTTATGGTTATTTAGAACATATACAATCTATTAAACCTTTGATGACACCTGATGACAAAAAACTTCCAAAAAAAGTGAGGTAATTACACAGTTCATTAAGTTCATGACGTCTAACTAAGTATTGCCATAATATTCTTTGAATCGATAATATATATTATGCTACTCACAAATATTTCATTGGTCATAGTCAGAATAAAATACAAATCTTAAACATGAAATATGATAATCTTTAAAAAGAAAACATTTTTTTTTGTTAAAAAAATATAAATCTACATTCAGATTAATTAGTAATAATGACAACATTCAGTACATAACACAAAGTCTAAAGAGGGCATGTGTAAGATGACTAATTGTAATATCATGTCTTTTTTAATTTAGAGAATATTATGAAGATCAATTGGACTTAATAACATCAATTGAAGATGTTCTTGTACCAAAAGATGAAGAAGCAGCAAGTAATCAATCGGCTGCTCAGAAAAAACATCAGCGTACAATCAAAATATTGACGCAGGTTACTTTATGGACTAATCTTGTATGTTCTATTATTTTTGTTAAGTCTTTAAAGCATTATTCATTATTTTATTGAAGTTTCTTCTTATTTTCAAAATCGTTGGTGCAGTAATATCAAGATCACTATCAGTCATTTCTTCTGTTGTTGATAGTACTGTCGATCTTTTAACCAGTCTTATTCTTATTTGGACACATCGGAAAATAAAAAATCGAGATTATTATAAATATCCTGGAGGTTAAATATTATAATATCTAATTATCAAATTTCATTATAAAATTTTATTTTAGGACGAACACGTCTTGAACCGATTGCTATTGTTATTTTATCTGTAATTATGTGTTCAGCTAGTGTAGAGGTCATTTTTGAAAGTGGTCAAACATTAAATCAAGATATTGAATACTTTACACATAAGAATGGTAGTAATACATCATCGTACTCATTACCTACTATTGACATGACTATTATACCTATTCTGTCTATGGCTGTTACTATCGGTAAATTTCAGATTTCTATTGATACTTTAAAAACAACTCTGATATTTTGTCTTTTTAAGTATCTAAAGCAATTCTCTTCGTATTATGTTATCGAGTTAAAAATCCAACAATGTATGCTCTTGCCGAAGATCATCGAAATGATGTGGCATCTAATATTGTGGCACTTGCGTGTGGACTTCTTGGTATGTTAGAATCCTATGTTATTTATAGATAAAATAGGAAAATGAGATCGATTGCATGTTTTAGTAGTGAAAATTTGTGAAGTTACCATATATATATATTCTGATTCTTTTAGCTTACAATGCTAAACAGGGCAAGATCAAACAAGAACTAGTCGTAGTGGATCCAGCTGGAGCAATCGTTATTTCAGTATATATCATCATTGCTTGGATCTTACAAGCAAATAGTAAGTAATGCATACTACTTTTTTGTTTATGTTTATCACTATTTTCTATAATCAAAATCAGTTCTATAGTCATTTTTGTTTATCTTTCATAGCGCAAGTACGTAATTTATCAGGTCTTGCAGCTGAGCCTCATATTCTCCAACGACTTACTCATATCATATATAACTATCGTCCTGATGTAATTACAAAAATTGATTCCGTTCAAGCTAATCACTTTGGAACAAATTATTTCACGGAAGTTGATGTCGGTTTACCAGGTTCAATGCCACTTTCTAAAGCTCATGATATTGGTGCGGAGTTACAAACTCAATTGGAAACTATTGATGATATAGAACGAGCTTTTGTTCATCTTGATTTTGAATTTACACACATGCCAGCTGTTGAACATAAAAATCTTTGATTTTTATTTATTTATTTTTTATTATGCAAAAAACTGTGATTTTAGGATCTTGACAAAAAGTTGTTTAATTTTTCTTTTTCTTTTATATATTTCTTTTTAAGAAAAAAATGTCATGTACTTTATTTGATTATAATTAAACAGTTTATGAAAATAATCTTAGTAGGTATTGCAGCGCTATAAATCATAGAACTTTGATATTATTTCGTATTAGTTTTGTTATTTATATTCATTTACTGCTTTTGTTTGGATTAATTAATTGTAAACGAATATGTGGAAATAAATATATGTACCAAACAATTAATTTAACTTTTAACTTTACAAAATACCTATGTAATAAGAAAAACTATTCTAACGATTACGTTATCAAGATATCTGTTGTTCTATCAAGTTTATCAATATACACTAAATTTAAATAATGTTTCATGATTTTCTTTCAATTGATATCAACAATACAAGCTTTTCAGTATTATTCAAGAGTTTAGTGTTCTATAATTATTAAGAAATATGCTTAATTTAGTCACTATTAAACTTTAAATGAAAACAATTTTAATTCATTTCTGTTAATAATAGTAATTATCAATATATAGTTTATATTTTTGTGCATATCATGCTAATTCATTTAAGCTATGATAAAAAATGAAGTAAATATTATAAAAATAAATTCTATGTCATACAGTTGCCATCTATGCTAGTTTTCCACATCTGCTTCGATCTAGCAGGGAAAGTCTATAGACTTCATTATCAATAGATATGTTTCGAATGACTTTCCTTTTTGATAGATAAAACTATACTTTTCATATGAAATGTTCTATTTGTTTTATATTTTTCTTTAGAATAATAATTAAAAAAAACAATAAATAACCATCCAATTATTATATATAAATCAAGATAATTTCTTCAATATTTACTCTCTTTGTTTGCAAAGCTTTTGTCAGCTATTTGGTGTTGCAGAAAAAAAAGAAATAGAGAACATGTATAACAGAAAAAAAACTGATGGAAAATAAAGACAAGAACAAGAAAAAAAGAAAGAGAAAGAAATAGTATCATTCCAAGATGAACAAGAAACAAGGGGCATTTAGATTTCATAGATACAAAAACGATTTTCTTTCCGTATGTCCAAATAGAGACAGAAGAAGAACGTACGTACAATAAAGAAAGAAAGAAATAAAGAGAGAGAGGGAACGAAAAGAAAAGTAAGGAAGAAAAAAAATATATATATAAATTAATTATATCATCGAATTTGGTCGAGCAGTTACATGTGATGTTTGTTTACAATGATCAGATGTTTGTCGAGGTACGACAACAACAGGATTCGATTTATTCGGAGATCGTGTTCGCATAAGAACTATAGGATCCGATGGCGGGGAATGTTCAATAGGTGTAGTTGGAGTACTTTTTGTATGTGTAGATGATGAAGGTATTGCAGGTATTGTAGGTATTATTACTGTTTTTCTGCCAATTATTGTTGTAGTAGTTTGAGTGTCATTTAATTTACTTCGAAATGTTTTACTAGAATTAAAGAAATAAATAAATTCATTCTAGTAGATAATATCAAATCCTATTGAAGCAGGAAAATCATTCAGTTTGATCTAATACATGATTTACTAAAGAATCAACCCATTTGATATCAATATGTAGCTGATAAATAGATCCAGTTCAGACTAGGAACAATGTAAAAGTCTAGAAACTCTTCTTCTCTAGTCATAACTATGTATCTACGTTTAGTATTTATGATAAAAGATTAAACGGAAAATTAAAACACAGAATTTCGATCTGAAATTTTGTCTGCATGTAAACTTAATACCCACTATATTGGTTTATAAATACGAAATATTTCCTTTGTTGAATATGAAATTCGTCAGAGAAACTAATTTACTTGACATAGATGTAAGATGTAAATAAATTTTGTCATTTAATTCGTCTATTAAATTTTCGAGATATCTAGTTAATCTAATCAAATACTCATAGCTATCGACGAAAGATATGTAGGTTCTTAGCTCTTTTCTATCTTAACTATATTCTGATGATCTATCTATATTGTATTTCATGAAAAAGGACGATTTGACAGTCAGAAAGATTGCAAGATACTCAAGCGGATCCTTCAAAATAGAATTTATTGAGTAAAATACTATAATTTATCTTACTTTGCTGCAAGTATTCCTTCATATATCAGTAATTGATTTCTAAAACCACCATTTGGATTAATACATGATCGTCGTTTTTTTACATGGTCCAAAGCATCAGCAAATGAATGATTATTTTCTTTCATAAGATATGCTAATACCTAATTTTATACAAACATATATGAAATTATTCTTAAACAAAATAAAATTCTTTCTATTTACCGTCGATGCAGATCGACTAATACCCATCTTACAATGGACTAAGCAACATTGGTTATTAGCTCTAATAAAAATGATGAAATTATAAAAATTTTGTTTATTAAATATTTCAATAATTTACTTTGCTTCATTTATAAATCGAAATGTTTTTTCCCATTCTTTTAATAAATCTGCATCATCATGATCATGTACACGAACATTTAAATATTTAAAATGAGCAGGAAAAAAATTATCAATTTCTCTTGAAACATTCAATACATAACCAATATTGTTTGCTTTTAATTCATCAAAATTTGATGCATTCCATTCTGAACCAAGATATAAATGTGGTAATATCATTGTTGGTTTATCCATTTGAGCAAGGATATGTAACATAACATCATCGATATACTGTTTATAGGGAGATAATGATATTTGAAAGGCATTTTCTAATTGTTCACGTAACTTTAAATATTAAAATGAAAAAAAAATTCTTATTTCATTTTTTTCTTAAATTAATAAACTTACAAATTTCGATGTTACTTCATCAAGATCAACTTGTAACATAATTTCTTTTAATTTAACATGTATTTTACAACGGAGTGTTTCTTCATCTGACGATAAAAATCTAAATAAATTTATTCTTATTAATAAATTACATTTTCTAATAATAACATACGGCTGGTATAAATGAGGTGAATCACTACGATGAGATAGAATATCATCCATTTGATTCCATTCATTAACATACATTTGATGTGAACGTATATCTGGATTACGATAATAATCAACCCAAGTATGTGTGTCACTATTATTAACTATATAATTATAAAGACGTGCTTGATTTGATGCTTTGTGTAGACTCTGATAAGCAGTCCTTGAAAGAAGAAAAAAAAAGCTTTCAATCATTAAATAACAAAAATAAATAAATTCAAATATATACCACAGAGCTTGTACGCTCACCGGTTTGAAAATATGACATCGATCGTAAGACGTTAATTTGAAACCACTAAATATAATTATTGGAAAATATTAGAATCTTTTAAAGATCAAAACTCTTACCCATCACCGTCGAGTGTTATATCCAAATCGGCCCATATTGGTAATGTCATACCTATTGTAATCTCGTTTGTATCGACATCAAAACCGAGAATAGCCGATCTATGAAAAAAATGAATACATAATTATTGTAATAAATACATATGATTTATTTTACTCTTCTGTTTCTTGTCTTCCAACACATGTAACAATGACTAGGTAACGAAAACGATTTGGAAAGCCACTTTCCAGTTGAACCATCTATTGAGAAAAAAAAAGCAAATAAGAATAAAATCGATCTATTTAAAATAACAAACCAAGGTAAGACGATCGTCGGGCCGCAGCAATTTATACATCGAGTCAAGATGCGCACGTAAATTTTCTAAAACAAAATATTTTATTTTAATCGGTCGTTTTTTTTTAATAATATAACAAAAACTATACCTGCATTGCCCGCAACGATCCTTGCCAGATGACGGTCGATCGTTGTAGTAGTTTCGGCGGCGATCTTTGGTAAACTTAAAGTTCCATGTAAACGTGATAAAACAATATGTTTATTTGACAATGAACTGAACATAAAAGAAAAAAAGAAAAAGAAAGTATAATCGATGTTAAAATCCTAATTCATTTCAATATTATTTCTCCATTCTCCTTCTTACTTTTATTCTCAATACATCATAACTAACATTTCAAATGGTATTATGTTCATTCAATATGTATTGAAGAAGGAAAAAAAATGAAAAGAAAGGTTAAAAAGAGAAAAAAACCCGAATACGTTTCTGTTACTATAATCTTGACGTCTCACCTTGTCGCCATTTGATGTGTAATGATTTGAAGAACAAAAAGGAATTCAAAAAAAAGAGTGTCTATTATGTCAAACTAATAAATATTTATAAATTTGAATAAAAAATATGTATATATATGAATGATGTTTTGTTTTTTTTTTCTTTCGACGATTCTTATTTTATGGTAAATAAAAGACAAAAATCCTTGAATGAAAATTGTAATTCATTAATCATAGGTAACAGGAGAAAAGGTAGCAGAAAGCAAATAACAAATATGATAATAGATAATTATCTTTTTTTTTCTGTTTTTTTTTTTTTGTATGTGTTTATACAAAAGAAAAACAAGATTGTACCTGATTTGAGATATATGTTGTGTTTCGTTATTAATCAATATTATCACTTTGTAAGTATTAATAATAAATACATGAAAAATAAAATGTCATAACGTAAATAGATTAGTAAAATCTAAAATAAATATATATTGAAAAACTTGTTTTTGTTGACAAGTAATGAACTTGAACTTATGTTATGTTTATTATATTATATTATATATATATATATATATTTACAACCGTCGAACAGGTCTCCAATCATGTTGATACTAGCAAGATGAGACATGATGGAGAACGAATAAGGAGAGTGGACAGATTAATATGTTTTACTACCATAAAAGGAAGATGGACAGAAAATAAAAATCAAATGAATCAACCATGTCAGCTGATATATAGACAGATGTCGTATGATGTTGGGAATGAAGAAAGAAAAAAATTACATTGTCACATAAATATGTTCGAGTTGACTATAAAATTCAGTTGCCCTTTAAAGACAAATGGTTGACTACAAAAATATAGAAAAATAATATTATTATTTAATACTAACTGATAATAGATAATTTTTGTTTGATAAAAATTTATCAACTTCTTTATAATTTTCATTTTCTCATAGGATTTGATAATAAAGGCAACCTTCTACTTCAGTGGATTAAAATTTAAACAATAGTTGACCTGTATACTAATAAGCGAAACAGACAGCAAATTATTATAGATACTATACAATGAAAAGATATATAATTTACCATTGTTGAGATTAATGACCCCTCAAGTGCCCTTACCCAAACGAATACTCAATCGAAAAAAATTATGAAAAAAAATAAAATATAATAGAAGATCTCACGAGACGTTGTTTTTTATTCTTGAAAAGAATAGAACATTCGAGATCTTTTTTTTTGCAGATTGGACTGATAAGAAGACTTCCTTTGTTATCAAATCCTATGAGAGTATAAAAATTACAAATGAGTCTTTGATAAATTTTTCATCAGATGAAATTTATCTGATAGTTGTTTTTTATGACATAAATAGAAGAAAATGAATATCAATAAAATTAAGTGACGGCTCAAGTAACTAAAAATTAGACAACATAATCGAGTCTGAAGAAGTACAGATGGTTTTGATAGTTCTTAAGTGAAAATAAAATTTAACAATGAGTAGTTTTAAATTAGCATTATAATTTTGACAAAAAATAATATTGTATTTTCTACTATTCGTATTAATCTAAGCAGTATGTATGTAGTTGATTTAAATTTATTTGCACCATTACCTGATTCTAACGAGCAAGAAATTGATCAACAGCGTCGTTGGAATATTACTGGTACTTGAATTTATATTGTATTTTTCATATTGATTCTCTTTATTGTTGATCTTGTTTTGTCATTATTTGAACAACAAACAATGATCACCGTTAAAAATCCAACAAAAGAACAGTTTCAACTTCTTCTTATCGATAAAAAGTGTTCATGTTCTCATATTTTTATTCCATATAGTAAATTTATTTAAGTGATTTTGTTAGTGATCAATGGATTAATGTAACTAATTCGAAAACAAATGCAACTGTTTTCCACGTCGAAGGCTTTCGACGTTGCGGTAGTGCTCAGTTTCAAGTGTTTGCTGCCTTTTGTCGTTTATCAAGATTAGATACTGCTCAGAGTATATATATATCGCTTCTCAAAATACATTGTTAAGTTCACAAGTCTTATCTGAAAATGTCCTTCAATCCCATATTAATGCAGCAATTTAAATTAACAGCATCCGATACTTTTAAATCGCGAAGAATATTGATTAATCAAATGGTAATCAACAATGGATTGATATATGCATTGCTGACAGATCTCCCTATGCTAGGAATGTTATCTGGTTGTGTCTCAGTGCTTTCACTTCTTAAATCAACACTCAAGTGTTTCTACAATTAAGATTGTGTGGACGAGCTTATTTTATATTTTCCTACAGATGAGAAATTCGTAGTGATGATTGCAGATCATCAAAGTCTTTCAAAATTAACGTTTATCTTTAACATATGGAAATTGCTCAAAAAACAAGAAAAAATAGATATTAATTATTGCTAAATTTTAATAATAGAAAATTGAACTTTATGATAATTACTTCCTTTAATAACAACATTTATTTTCTTATATTTTTTACAAGAAAAAAGAAAATATGAATCGAGACTGTTTATTTTCAAGTATGACAATCAGAACGATCGAGTAAAACTGTTTGAGAAGTATATGCTGATATCTTTGTATTTGTTTGACAAAGTCCACTGTATCTATTTACAAACAAAAGCAAAAATAGTAAATAAATATTATTAAATTTATAAACATACATAATTGTATCTTCAACTGATTTTAAACGAAGATTTGAAATAACAATTTCATTACCTTTTGGACCACCCAAACCAAAAACTAAATAAGATTTCTATATTTCTCAACTATATATACTTCGATAAAAATACATACAACTTTTTCCTTTATTAAAATATACAATAGCATAATCAACATTACCCATATCAGCATTATAGCTAAAAATACGACGAAATACATCACCGGCTTGTATATCAGCATTTGATCTTTATAATAAGAGATAGAAATTAGTAAATAAATTTAATTTATTTTTCTTTTCAAAACATACTTTGAAGTCATACTAACATTGGCTAACATTTCATAATTTGAATGAATTGCAACATAAATTTCGCCACTTGTTTTAGGCATATCATGAGCAATTGTAAGTTCAATACTATGATGATAACCTATTAATTAAAATAATAAAATACAATCAAAATTCAATAAATAGAAATTCTAACCACAAAATGGTGAAACACTTTTTGTTGTTAAATACATATCACCACGACCAAGTGAATAAATTGAATGAAAACCTATATAACAAAAAAAAGAATTAATCAGATTTGTTAACAAAACTATATTATTTTAATACCCATTTGAGCACAACCAGATGCTGGACAAGTAAAACATTTGCCATTGCTAAAGTTATCCTATAGCAGGAATATAGATAAAAAGAAAATCGAAAAATAATTTTATTTACATAATTATCACATGGAAAAGCTACATATGGACATTGTGAACTAAAATAAAAATTATTTATATTTTAAATGATTCATCTAGATAAAAATCTACTTGATTGATTCAGTGAAATATCCATGAGCACGAGCTATTTATATAAATATATAATATAATATTTAATATATTTATTTCAGTATACTAACCATGAGAACATGATGTTTGTTCAACCATAGCTACAAGAAATTCAAATTTTTTTTATCTATTTTATATATATTTTTTAAATAATTTACCGTCACTTTGACCACCTAAGAGATTGCCAAAAAGTGAAGTCCTGTTAAAAGATAAATTAAATGAGATAAAGGAATTATTTAATAAGTAAGAATATTTACATTGAAGGGCAACCTGGTTGATGTTGACCACCATTAACATAAAAATCGACATGTCCAGATTGATCTTTTAATCCAAGACCCATTCCAAGAGCTATTTCTGTATTTGTATGAATAACATCCACAAATTTAGCATCAGTTTGATCAAGACGAACCAGTGAAGTTGTTCCCTCAAAATATGGACCAGCAGGATCAAGACCTGAAATACGAGCCAATTGATTATCAACTACATTCGATGCTGTACCACATGTATGTGCGCCAAGACTATGTCCTAAGAAAAAATAATAATTAATATTTCTTTTTTTTTCAATTAAATTTGAATTTTTACAAACCAATACAGTGAATTTTATCATATGAAAAACCTTTCATTTCATGTATTTTCTTTAAAAGTAAACCAAGTTGTTTACCAACGAGACGTGTATTCGAAGCAGCATTAGCATATAATGGAGCTTTAGCACCATTACCCCAATCCATAACAAGTACATCAGATATTTCATTCTATTATATACATTAAATGTTACTTTCAAAAAAAAACATTAATATTTAATATAGTTCTTACATCTTTTAATGTCAATAATTCATCTTTAAGTGGTTTTATCCAAATACTATCTCGATTATTGATAAAACCATGTACAATTATTCTTAACCATCGAGATGAATTAAGATTTGATTCTACAATTGATTTATCATTACCATTATAGAAAAGAAATTCTGGATTAGTAGGTGTTTCTTGTGTAAATAGAAGAAATTGTGTATCAATAAATTCAGGTGATTGTGGTATTTCAAAAGCAGCATTAGTAAATGGAGCATTATTATCAAAACAGCCAACAACTGGATAGCATATTGAAGTATTAGCATGTACTGGTGATTTCATAGCTCGATTCATTGTTGGAACAATAGGTACATCATTAGTTGATATTGCATTGATAGTAAGTGGCTGATTATCGACATGTTGTAATGAAACAAGTCCAGCATCAATAAAAATATTGAAAACAGCGACAAAAAACAAATAGAAAACTAGAGAAAAATAAATAGATATGGATACATTCTATTTGATTTTTATAGTAATTTTCAATATAATAAATTATACATTATTCTTTCGTTCGAATTATTTGCTTATTAATCAAGAGAATCATTATTTGTGATATCGGTTATTCTATGAAAACAAGATAATTATAGTCTTAGTCTTATTGCTGATTTAGAATAAAATTTAACATGCTCTATATTAGAAATATATGGAGATTATACTTTTGTTTAAGATTTTTTAAAATCAATCTTATTAAGAAAAACAAATATAGATATATTGATTTAGTATTAATATAATCGTATATCATACGGCTGAGAAACTTGTCAGCTTTATTCTATATTATTTTAAAAGAAATACTTCAAAAACATTTTTCTTGGCTTTATTTATTGCGTATATCTTTAATATAAGTTTTTCTTCAAGAATAAAACTATAATTTCTGATTTTTTTTAAACTAATTTTTATATTATATTCAATGCTCAAACCAAAAATACAAATGTAAACTTAATACTGACGTCAAATATTAATATTATCATTATAAAACCTTATAACGAATAATATAGTTAATTCTTTCGAAATAATAATCGACTAGCTCTAGTTGGGTATTTTCATTTAGAAACTAAATCATATTAATTTAAGTCTAATGTATTATAAAAATATATTTGTAAAATTTATCAAATATATTATCGACGTACCTGTATTCAAATGCATGATGTTTTAAAATTAAATGAAAAATATTAGATTCGATATTAATAAGTAGATTTAAATTATCTTATACAACGATGTAATATAAAAATATCACCTGTTCCCTTTCTCATACAATCATATATATATAAGATAATCTAGCTTGTTTGAGAAAAATATTTATACAGTAATATCATGTGATACCATGATAATCTACTTCGTAATGATAACCTATAAATTTATTTTTGTTGTACTCGTTAAGCTTTAGTTTAAAATGATATATGTATTCCATCGTAGCAATTTACAGGCAGTCTTTAGCCTAAATTTTTTTTTACTATTTATAATCTACATTAGTGTTTCGTATAGACATAAAACCGAATGACCGAAACATTTATTCGTTTCGACCTACTTTTAATAGAAATGCTATATTAAAAAAGGGTCAGTTTATATTTTATTATATAATTTAAATTCGTCAGTAAAGATAAGAAATATCTTAGACAAAACGGACGGTCTTTAATGTCGTAAATGAATGAAGAAAACTAGAAATAAGATGATTTTCGAGGAAAATAAATCTATGTTATAGTGTTACGAACATACAAGCATGGAAAGAGAGAGAAACATATATATATATATCTATATATCTATATAGATATATGTATAAATATAAAGGTTCGGACTTTATAGAACGGACTATTCATTATCTTTTTTCTTTTTCTTAACACGCATTTCTGTAAGATTTTTCTTCGTCGAGTGAACTTTATAACCAAGAGATGATCTAAAATGAATGTAGTTAAGATTTAACATGTCTGTATGACAACATTCAGAGAAGAATATTACTTAACAAACGTATTAAAATTAGTTGACATGAGTAAGAATAATGATTTGATTACGATTACAATCTTTATCGTATCAAAAGAATATAGTTCAAGGCTTTTTTAGTAAAAATTTCTTACTTCCTATCGTCAAGTAGTGACCTCTTTTTAATACGACACTAACGTATATCTCGAACCTCTATTGTGAAACGTAGTTGTTTTGTTTTGTTTCGATCATACTAGTACACAACACATTCTTCATATTTAATAGTATCTTCTTTTTTTTTCTCGCGACATTCAATTTGGTCATATATTCGAATATAACGATTGATTTATTCTCTAGATAATTAATAATGGCTTATAGTGGCAGTGGCGGTGGTTTTTCCAGCAACGAAGGTAGCGGTGGCAACGTTTGGAGTTCGGGTTCTCGTGGTGGTAAATAAAAATAAAAAAAAATTTTTTTTTTTAAAAATAATATTTTTTTATGATAGGATCACGTGGAGGTTATTCTCGTCCAAGTAATGACGATAATGATGACCGAAGAGGAGGGTAAGTTTCATCATATAGATACCTATTTTCTACTGATATATATATATAATATGAATACATTGTTTTTCTTTCCGTTTAAAATACTATATTTTGCTAAATGAAAATCAATATACATAATTTTTTTTGGAACAATCAAGTATAAAATTTTTCTATGTTATTTGAAAGAATATATACAAATACTTAAATAATATATATAGAAAAAAAAAGAAGTAAGAAAATAATAAAATGGGTAAACATGTATTTATATGGATATAAAATTTACAAATATTTTTATATATGATGATGTTTGATGATTATTTTGATTTCTATATTATTAATAGTGGATCATATCGTGGGTCGTTTGGAAATAATAATTCAAGTAAGATTGATATGCCCGTTGGATCCAGTCTATATATTATTCATTTCAATTAAAACAGATATAGAACAGTGGCATAGTCAGGAATTTTTGAGTTATGGGCCATTTATTGGTATTTTTTTTTTGAGACATGGGCAATACTTGGCAATTAAAAATTTTGTTGGATTTCAGTTTTTTTTAAGCCTATTTCCATTACGGAAACGGATGCTTCGTTAAGAGGAATTTCTTGATTAAATCACCATAAGAAACGATTTATTAAAATAGCATTATTTAAGTCATTGAATACACACATATACCAAGATATTTTAGCATTGGCCATTTGCTATCATTTTCAAAAAGCCATTGGGCAATAGCCTTTGAAGTATTGGGCAATTGCGCAATAAATATTGGGCAGTTGCGCAATGGCCCAAACCTGACTACGCCACTGATATAGAGAAAGAATAAAAATTTATTAAAAAAAAATAACTATTTGATTTCATAAGATGTATTTATTTGACTTATTATTAAACGAGACATTTATATATTGCTTTACTTGGGAATTTTTTTAATTTCAATGTATTTGTTTATTATATTATATAAATATTTTAGGACGTGGCGGTGGTGGTTATGGATTTCGTCGACAAGAAGGCAGTGGAGAAGTTGAAACCCTTAGAGACGCAATTTTCATACAAAATTTACCGAAAAATATAACACGAGATCAAATATTTGATGCTTTTTCAACTGTTGGAACAATTAAAGTAAATAATTATTATTTAAGTTTTTATTAGAAAAAAAAACTTTTTTTTTTATGTTCTTTTAGACTGATGATCGATCAGGTGGTCCAAAAATCTGGATCTACAAGGATCGTGATACCGGTGAAGGAAACGGTCGTGCTACCGTAACTTATGAAGAAGAAGAAAGTGCCAATAAAGCCATTTCGGAATACAATGGTAGATATTTTGTTTTATTCAATTTCATATTCAACTATTTTTCGATTAGATCAACATATTGATTCAATCGATACATCTGTTCGTGTTCAACTTGCACAACGTCGTCCACGTAATAATGATGGCGGTGGTGATCGTGGTGGCCGAGGTGGTAGGATCTAGATTTTGACTTCGAATTTATATTTATATGAATTTTTCTTTAAAAAGGTTATCGTGGTGGTCGTAATAATTGGGATAACGGTTCCCGTCAAGGTTTTAGTTCAGGCAGTGGTGGTCGTTGGAGTAATGCCGAAGGTGGTGGCGGCAGAGGAGGAGGTTTTTCCGATAGTCGAAGTGGCGGTGGTGGTGGTGGTGGTTTCCGAGGTAAATTATTATACAAAAAAGAAAATTAAATAACTATTAAATACAAATATCTTTTTTTTTATAGCCGAAGGTGGTAGCGGCGAATTTTTCCGAAGCGAAGGTGGTGATCGTGGTAAGTTCTATTTTTGAAAAAAAAATTTTTAATCATTACACTTTTTACTTGCAGGTGGTGATTCCTATCGTGATAGCCGAAACGGTTCATACCGCGGTGCTAGTCGCGGTAATGGTGGTTCATCAAATTATTCACCATATTAAAACCATCTTACAACATAAAACTTCAACTTTAAAAACTTTTAAAATATATATTAACATTTCTATTTGTATGCGCTTATGCGCACTTCTTTTTTTTGTTTGTTACAACATATCCTATTCATACTCGTTGTTGTTTTTTGTTTATTCAAAACCATAACGTATAAAATAAAAATAAAATTCTAGCAAACGTAAGCTTTAAGTATTAAAAAAAAATAACTCTTTTCGAATTACAATGCTATTTTTTTGCTTGTGCTAAACGATAATAATATTCTTTACGAGCTAATAATTCATCATGTCCACCACTTTCAACAATTTTACCACGACGTAATACACAAATAAGATCAGAATTTTGTATAGTTGATAAACGATGAGCAATAACAATTGTTGTACGACCTTTTGAAGCTTGATCAAGTGCTTCTTGAACTACACGTTCACTTTCTGTATCAAGTGCACTCTAATTAATAGAAAATCAACAGATTTTTTTTTATATAACCTCTGATAACTTACAGTTGCTTCATCAAGTAATAAGATTTTTGGATTACGAATAAGTGCTCGAGCAATAGCTAAATAAATATACAACATATGGCAAAATGTTCTTGTTGTTTTTTTCTTATAAAATCTTACCAATTCGTTGTTTTTCACCACCAGATAACTGTGTACCTTTCGAACCAACATTTGTGTCGTATTGGTCTGGTAAACTTACAATAAATTGATGTATATTCGCATTTTTTGCTGCTTCTTGTATTTCTCCTAATGATATAGTTCTTGATGTATCACCATAAGCAATATTTTCTCTAATAGATGCATCGAATAAAATTGGCTCTTGACTAACAAAACCAATTTGACTTCTCCACCATTGAAGATTTAAAGTTAATAAATCATTTTTATCAATTAACTAGAATAGATACATTAGAATTAAATTCTATTTTATTTCTTAACGTTCAACTTACTATTTGTCCGCTCTTTGGATTATAAAAATGTTCAAGTAATTGAATAATTGTACTTTTTCCACAACCAGAAGCACCAACTAAAGCAATTTGTTTGTCTAAAACAAAAGAAATATTAAAGTTTACGAACAAAAGAAAAAGTATTCATACTTGGTTTAATAGTTAAATTAAAATCTTTCAAAACTTGTACTTTTGGTCGATTCGGATAACAAAATTCTATATTTTGTAATTTAATATGTCCATCAAAGTTATCCTTGAAAAATAATTCAATAAGAAAAAAATAACAAAATTTTATTTTCTTACTAAAACTTTTCCTTCATTTGAAGAGTTATTAATTTCCGGTTGACGTAGAAATAAAGTTAAAATATTTTTCGATGCCGACTAGATTATTATAAATATATATATTCATTTTATTATTTAAATATATCAACATACAATTGCTTTGGAATAATCTGGTGACATTGATGCCGTTTGACCGACCTTTGAAAAATAATTTCAATTGAAAAATAAATAGTTTTTATTAGATAAAACTTACAGCCATAGCTCCGAAAAGTATACAATTCATTACACTGAAGAAATAAATTAACGAAAATTTGTTTTTTTTTATATTAAGTTTTGTTGACTTACAGCATTATATTTTCAAAACTAAAAACAAATCAATTTTAAATAAAGAAAATTTTTTAAATAAAATCATTTACGTCATTGCTCCTTGTTCTACTCTCCAGGCTCCAAATGTGAACAATGCTGCTTGTGCAAAGAACATAATCTTTAGATAAGTCAATTAATAAAAACAAAAAAAGAACTTCAAATCTTACTGCATCAGTAAAACTAAATAAAATTCCAAATACATGTGCTCGTTTTATACTATTCCTATAAAAGATAATACAAATTTTAATATATTAAATATTATTCATCTAACACATACTTATAAGGAACCTCAAGTAATCGACAATATTCATCATCAAAATACTGTTCTTTTGTTAATTGTGCAACTGTTCGAATATTTGATATAGCTTCAACAGCAGTCTATTAAATAGATAATTATCTAGAAAATCTTTAATTTCCCACAAATTACAAACCTTTCCAGCATTTTCTAATGCTTTTTTATCCTATAATTAAAATAAATAAATTTGATGTTTCTCTATATATTTAAACATACACTATTTGCAAAACCAGTCATTAGATATGTTTGTAAAAATCCAGCAATAATCATAAATGGAATAAAAGCTAACATAAGTAAAGTTAATGACCAACCATAAATAAATGCTAAAATCATTCCAACACCAAGATTTGATATATTTTGTAACATTGTTCCAATACGAATACCAGTTGCCTATAAAAACAAAATAAATCAATTAAGTACGAAGAAAAAGAAATAGAATTATTCGTACTCCTTGAACAGCAGAAGCTTCAGTTGCAAGACGAGTACATAAAGCACCGGTATTATTTTCTGGTAGATCAAAATATGCTACATCTTGTTGTAATAAAACTCGAAAAATTTTTGAACGAAGACGTTGCGTTAAAGATTCACCGGATATTGCAAATAGGAAACTCTAAATAACATATTTTAAAAATAAATTATAGAAAAATTAAATTAAATATTTTACCTGGAAAAAGTTAGTGATAAGCATAAGAACACCAAGGCCAATAAAAAGTAATATATACATTAATACTTGCTTTTCTTGTTCGTTTTGATCACATACTTGAAAAACCTTAAGAAAGAAAAATAGATCTTTGAAATTGTTTTTCTAATATAACTTACTCTAGGGGGAAACAGCGGACTTCAAGACTTCAAGAGACTTCAGCAAGCGAGACTTCAGTTTTTCCAAAGACTTCAGAAGACTTCGAACGATTTCAAAGATTTCAGACGACTTCAATAGACTTCAAAAGATTTCAAGAGACTTCACAAGACTGAAAACTTCAATAGACTTCATTAGACTACATCCATGAAGTCTCTGTTGTTTATCCCTCATCTCCTCGTGGAATATAAGCATCCATAGAACTTGTAGAAGATTTCATGAGACTTCGCAAGACTTCATAAGATTTCAAGAGACTCCATGAGACTTTATGAGACTTTATGGGGCTTCATTAGACTTCATGAGACTTTATGGGGCTTCACTAGACTTCATGAGACTTTATGGGGCTTCATTAGACTTCATGAGACTTTGTGGGGCTTCATTAGACTTCATGAGACTTTATGGGGCTTCATTAGACTTCATGAGACTTTGTGGGGCTTCATTAGACT